TCCTCAGAAGCCCTCCTGGCTTCCGATGAGGCCTTCTCGGAAGCGCCTGGCCCTCCAATGAGGGCCCAGCAGGCCTTCAAGGAAGCGCCCTCCCTCACTCCCGCCTGTAAGAAGACAGAGGGGCCTCAGGAGGCAGGCCCCCCAAGCTTCTGATGTGGCCTTCTCGCAAAGGCCCGGGCCCTCCAACGAGGGCTTCAAGAAAGAGCCTCCCCCCCGCTTCCTATGAGAGGCCCGAGGCAGGCGGCTCCTCAGAGGCCCCTCGGGCTTCTGATGGGGTCTTCTCGGAAGTGCCCAGGCCCCTCCAATGAGGGCCCTGGTCCTCTAGGACCATGACCTTCCAGAGTGTTAGAACACAAGCCTCCAGACCTACAGACCGATCTGGACTGCCTCAAACCTCGACCGGAATTTAGATGTCGAGGTTCTGGTGCTATCTTGAAAACCTCCTGGGAGGTCGGGGGAAGCTCCCCCCCACTGCCCACCCACACTCGGCTTCTTGGGAGGGCCCCCCCCCCGCGCGCCACCCCCTCCCTGCGCGCCACCGGGCCTCGCTGGTCTCCCCCCCGCCTCCTCTCGCCGCGGGCAACTTGCCACCGCTCGGGCGCCCATTCCCCGTGGATCCGTCGGTCTCGTGCACGGTTTCGTTCGCGAGATGGTCCGGGATGCTCCTCGAGGATCCTCGCCGAGGAAAAGTGCACACGGCCGAGCGATGCCAAGGGGAGTCAAGGCTGCTTGAGCTCAGCGGGCGCAGGCGATGCTACGGAAGGGGGCGCGCGGGAAGTGAAGCGGGGCACGGTGAAGCGCGGGGAGGGCAGAGTGGCGGAGAAGACCGAACCGCTCAGGTCGTGCAGGCCGTGCGACAAAAAATCACGACAAGGGGGTCTGGCCGGTGTCGGCCTCTCCGGGAGGCTCTCGCGCGCGCCCTGGAGCCGTCCTCCAGAGGGCTCGGGGCGGAAAGCCGGTCCGCCATTCAGGCCCGGGAGGGAGGAGGGGGGGGGGAGGGGGCTGACGCTATTCAAGTCCGGGAGGGAGGAAGGGGGGAGCTTTGCTCTGTCGAAGGGAGGGGGGGGAGGGGGGGGGGCTGACGCCATTCAGGCACGGGAGGGAGGAGAGTGGGGGAGGGGGGGCTGACGCCATTCAGGCCCAGAGGGAGGAGGGGAGGGGGGGGGGGGGGGGGGGGGGGGATGACGCCATTCAGGCCAGGGAGGGAGGGGGGGGAAGGACTGACACTGACGCCATTCAGGCCCGGGAAGGAGGAGGGGGGGGGCGGGGAACGCCATGGGGAGGGGAGGGGGGGTGGGGGGGGGAACGCCATGGCTGTTGCCATTCAGGCCCGGGAGGAGGAAGTCGGGGGGAGGGGGGGGGAGCTGACGCCATGGCTGACGCCATTCAGGCCCGGGAGGGGGATCTGGGGGGAAGGGGGGGAGGGGCTGACGCCATGGCTGACGCCATTCAGGCCCGGGAGAGGAGAGGGGGGGGGGAGGGCCGACGCCCTGGCTGACGCCATTCACGCCCGGGACGGGGGAGTCGGGGGGGGGCGGGGGCTGACGCCATGGCTGACGCCATTCAGGCCTGGAAGGTGGGAGGGGACATCCCATGAGTTTGGCTGGTGGCGCGAGATCGTCACTTTCGAGTATCCGAAGGTTGCCCAAGCGAGTCTAACATCTCTATATTATGAGGATGTCTCGGGCGAGTGCTCTACTTTTAAACATAAAAGGTCATCCGTTGCAAGCAGGATCGGTAGCACTCCGGATCGGCGGCACTGGCCGGAGGCCACAACAATATTCAAAAATGTCCAAAAATCGTCCCCAGACTATTTTCTTCCTTTTTTTGTTGGAATTCCCCCTGTAGAGGGACAGGCCCGACTTTAAAAAACGTAATCATGAACTTTCGCAGCCCCGCGCGGATTTTCTTGGACCAGCGCTGGACCCCCCTCCCTGGCGCGCGGAGCTCGGAGGGCGCCAGGGGCGGCGCCGGCGGCGCCGCCAGGGGGGCCCAGCGCGGTACCCTAGAAATCCGCGCGGCGCTCGGAACATCTGATTTCATGCAGTTTGCGTTCTTCTTCGAAGACAAGCGGGAAGGAAGGATCGACGGCGACGACGACGACGAGGAGAATCGACGGCGACGACGACGACGAGGAGGAACATCGACGGCGAAGAGGGTCGACAAAGAGGACCGACGAAGGGAGGAAGGACGACGAGGAGGAGGAGGAGGACGAAGAGGAGGATCGACGAGGGTGATCGACGGCGAGGAGGACCGACGAGGAAAATCGACGCGGGAAGGACGGGCGACGAGGAGGATCGACGGCGACGACGACGAGCCACCGGAGTCCTCCGCGCTCGAGGCCCGCTCGAAGTCGGCCTGGAGCTTCCCGATCGCCTCTGCGCGCGCGCAGGCGGGGCTTCTCCTGGTCGCGGCCCCCACCCCTGCGCCCTCGGAGGCCCCGGTCGTTGAGTCGCGCCTGCAGGGGCAGGGGGAGGAGGAGGAGGAGGAGGAGGAGGAGGAGGAGGAGGAGGAGGAGGAGGAGGAGGAGGAGGAGGAGGAGCCGAACTTGTTTAGCAGATTCGGCATCGTCGGCGGGGCAGGGCCCAACCTCGGCTGGTTGCCTCTGGGGTGACGGGCCTCGCTCGCCCTCCTCTGCTCTCCTGAAAGGAGGGGGAGAGACATACAACCATCACGTTAAAACCCCGGGATAAGGAATCAAACAGAGGGGGGACATGCGGCAGGCGGCGTGGCGACGTGCGGCAGTGTGGCGCGTGAGGGGCCCGAAAAGGCCCGTCGTGGAAGGGTCCTCGTCCCTTCGGGACCCCTGGCCACTCAGGGCCAATGCCCTGGGGGAGCCCTGGGGTCCCCCTCTCCGTAGAGGCTCCCTGTTTTGCCAGAGGCGAGGGTACGGAGGCGCTGAGAGTTGGCAGTCGTGTTACCTCGGCTGGAGGTGAGGAAACTAGCTGCAGCAAGTGAGATGAGAAACAGGGATGGCGGCTTAGGTTGAAAGTGATGAGGTTGGACAGGCTGAAAAAGCTGGCGGTTGTGGCGGCGTGGGAGGTGCGGAGGTTATCCCGCGGGGCCCCCTTTGGGGTGCCGCTTGCTGGGAGGGGAAACCAAGGGGCCACTCCTTCGGCTCAGAGGAATCCCTCGCACGCGCCCTGTGCCTCCCTCCTCTTCCTCCTCCTCCTCCTCCTCCTCCTCCTCCTCCTCCTGGCCGCTCTCCTTGCCCTGCCACCCTCCACCGCCAGTTGCGAGGGAAAGAGAAGCGAGGTCCGAGACCCCCTGTCATCACCCGCCCCCCGACGCGCGCAAGGCGGGGTAAGGCCAGGCGGACGCAAGGGTGGCCCGAGGCCGCTGGCAAGGGGGAGCTCTTGTGTGCGGCCTGCCGATCGCTGCATGCGGCACGACAACGGCGGCTTGAGTACTTGGGCCTGGCGGCCTTTTTGTGTCTTTTGGCTGCCGCGCACCCAAGGTCACGCCACTCCGCTTTCGGGTCGCAGCTCGGGTCTCCAGCGAACGTGTGCGACGGTTCGGGCACCTCTGGAAAGCGGGCTTGCCCCCCCCCCCCCCGCGCCCCTCGACTGCCGCGCACCAGCGATCACGCCACTCGGCGCGTAGCTCGGATCTCCAGCGACCGGCCCGGACGACTCGGGCACCCCCCGGAACGCCCCCTCGCCGAGGCGCATCTTCTGCTGGAGCGCGCCCCGAGGCAGGACAGCCTCCAGGAACCGACGACGGCCGCTCCCCCCGACCTGCCGCGCACCAGAGGCCAAGCCTGCAAAGGGCCACTCCTGCTTAAGTGGCGGAGAAACCCTGAATTCTGAACCCACAAATGCTGTATACATATTTAATGTATATATATATATATACAAGACTGTAGTGGCGCTTCGCGCCATGCACCTTGGTTCTTGAAATTTGGTATGCAACCGGACTAGCGGGAAGGTAAATCCAACAATTTAGCGATAACTCCTTTTCCGGCATCGCCGCTATAATAATCTGATTCGTTATCCTTCCTCTGTGCTTCTTATTCCAGATGTTCGCCATGCCCTGCGCATTCTCCCCATCCTCCTCAGCTCTTTTTGCGGAGGCTCCTCCTTGGAGAGCCTCTGGGGACCTCATGGGCGTGTTCTGGAGGCTTTCTTAAGGCCTTCTGGAGGCCTCCTGGGCGTGTTCTGGGGGTTTCTGGGGGTTTGTCGGGCCACCCTGCCTCCAACCGCGGTCTCCCTGAACGACTGGGTCACGATTTGGAATGCTTCGGAGGGTGTCTTAGGGCCATCTTGGGCCGCCATGGGGCTCCCTGAGGGCCATCTTGGACCCCTGTTGTGCCGTTTTGGGGCTCTCTTGGACTGCCTGGAAGCCCTTTCGGATGGTTGTGGGGCGATTTTGGAGCCTCCCAGGCGGCTTCGGACGCCCAGAAGACCGCCGTCTTGGAGCGTCGGGAAACCGAAAAGAGGAGAACCCCAAAATAAGCCATAAACCAACAGAATCAAGGATTTTCGCCTCTTGGGGCCTTCTTGGGAGTGCTCTTGGAGGCCTCTTGGGACGTTTCGGAACGATCTTTGGGGGTATGACGGCTTCTTGGGGGTCGTCGTCGATCGTATTGGGGCTCTTTGGGGTCGTTTCGGGAGCGCGCCACGTCCTGCGAGGCCCTGGGGGCCGCTACGAGGCCCGTCCGGAGGGTCCCTCAGCCCCAGATCCCGGGAGTCCGGTTTTGCGGGGGGGGGGCGGGTTTTCCCTCCGCCCGGGCTTGTAAAAATATAGAAATAGGAATATTGGGATCTGGAAATCCAGAATACCTCCTTTCAACGAGCGACGGGTACGTGCTTCAGCCGCCGCTGCCGTCCGTCGTCCGTCGTCCGTCGTCCGTCCGTCCGTCGTCGTCGTCGTCGTGGCCGCCGCCGCCGCCGCCGTCGCCGCCGTCGCCGCCGTCGCCGCCGCCGCCGTCGCCGTCGCCGTCGCCCGTCGTCGTGTTTTCGCCCTGCTGCCGCCGCCGAGGCGGGGAGGGCGGGGATCGACTGCACGAGCGACCCTGGGTAAGGGTGACCTTTGGTGCGCGGCAAACAACCAGCGTGCACGACGCCACTACCGCAGCGCGCTCGGCGATCGGGGGGCCCCAGTGGGCCCGCACTCGAGTTCACTCTGGCGAAGGGCCACTCCTACGCGCAGTCGAGGGGCAGGGCGCGCGAGGCGCCGCCTCCTGGAGCTGTGCCTCCCGCAGCGCGCGCTGCTGCGTCTCCTGCGTCAGGCGCTCGACCTCTTGTCGGCAGCCCGCCGCCCCAGGGGGGGGCCGAGCGCGAGGGGGGGTGCGGGGGCGACAGCGGAAGGCGAGGGGAGGGGAGCGGAGCGGAGGGGGAGGGGGGGGAGGGGAGCGGGGAGCGGGGAGCGGGGAGCGGTAGGGGGTGGGGGTGAGGAGCGGGGGAAGGGGGGGAGGGGGGACGAGCAGAGGGGGGAGGCGGAGACAGCGGAGGGGGGGAGGCAGGAGGGGGGGGAGAGCAGAAGGACACACATGGAAGAAGAGGGAGGGGGGGGGAATGGCAGAGTGGAAGGAGGGGGTGGCTGCAGGGAGGGTATTGCTCTTGCATTGCGCTCCGGCAAGGGCACCACCACTCCAACATGTTTGGGCCACTTATTGTCCACCACAGTCCTCTTGCAGGGCAGAAGAGGATATCGCCTCGAGCCTTGGGGAAGGGGGAGTGGGGGGTGCTGCCGGTCCTCCAACTCTGCCTGACTCATCTGCTCCCTCCTCCTCCTCCTCCTCCTCCGCCTCCTCCTCCTCCTCCTCCTTATCCGCCTCCTCCTCCCCATTGTTTATTCCTGCCCTCCCTCCACTGCTGCTACTGCTGCTCTTCCTGGTGCTGCTCCTTCTCCTCCTGCTGCTCCTGCTGCTGCTGCTGCTGCTGCTCCTCCTCCTCCTCCTCCTCCTCACCTTCGCTCCTGCCCGCCCCCGCACTCCTCCCTCGCCTCCTCATCCTCCCCACCCCCAGGAGGAAAGGAAGAGGAAGAACGGAATGAAACGCATGAGCAGGGGGGTGAGAAGGGAGGAGGGCGAGTGAGATTAATTGGGAAGATTGTGAGGAAGCTGATGGGTAGCAAAAGCCGGACGGAGGACGGCGGATGGAGACGGCGACGGAGACAGCCGAGACGACGACAACGCACGACGACCAACCACGTCGACGGACGACGCGCGAACACGACGCCACACGCCGACTATGACGACGAGAACGGCGGCGACGACACCAAGAAGACGACGACGACGGCGACGGCGACGACGACAGCGACGGCGACGGCGACGACGACGACACATAAAGAAGAAGACGACGACGACAACGACGACGACGACGACGGCGGCGGCGGCGGCGGCGACGACACACAAAGAAGACGACGACGACAACGACGACACGCAAAGGCGACAACAACAGACGACAGAAGACAGACGATACACGACAGACGACGGACGAAGGACAACGGACGACGGCTAACGACGGACGACGGACGGTGGACGACGACTCGGGAGGCGGCGGCCCCCGGAGATGCTGTGGGACCGAGTTTGGCAGTGGCGACGAGAGACCTCCCCGACGCCCAGAGAGGGCGAAGAACTGGACGGGACGCCGACGTCCGCGCCCGCGTGCCTCGACATGCGGCCGCGCGCCACGAGGGCGACGGCGAGGGAGCCCGAGCGCTGGAAAAGGCCGCAGTCGGTCCTCGCTCTGCTTTCTGCTGCACTCGGTTGATCCCACACGATGGCTGAAATTCTTGCGTCGGGGCGACTGTCGCCGCCCCAACTTCTGATCCTCGACAATTGCTCCAAGCTCGGAGGACAACGGAAGACGGAGGAGGAGGCGGAGGAGGAGGAGGAGGAGGAGGAGGAGGACGATGACTGCGACTGCAGACGGCGACGCACGACAACGATGACTGCGTCATCTGGAGGCCACCCGTTGCCTATGAAGGTGTCTGGCGTACCCCGCGACCTCGTTCCTCGACCTCGATCGATCGATCGAGAGATCGATCGCTCGTATCCTCGAGCCTCGATCGATCGATGGATTGATTCTCGATCTTCGAACCTCGAGCCCCGATCGATCGAGTGGAGGTCGATCGATCGGATCCTCCAGCCTCCATCCATTGATCATCGACTCCTCTGCCCTCGACCGATCGGATCCTGGACCCTCGATCACCGAAGCCTCGGGCCTCGATCAATCGATCGATGGGCGGCCTCGCCCTGCAGCCTCTCCTCGGCCGATCGACCGCGCAGATCCCCCCTCAGGGCGGGCCGCCGAGGGGGCCGCCGAGAGGGCCGGCCCAGGGGCGTTGCCGAAGGCCCGCCGGGGAGGACGCCGAGGAGCCCCGCCGAGGAGGACGCCGAAGGCCCGCCGAAGGGCCGCCGCAGAGCCGCCGAGGAGGCCGCCGAGGAGGCCGCCGAGGAGGCCGCCGAGGAGGCCGCCGAGGGGCCGTCGAGGAGGCCGCCGAGGAGGCCCGCCGAAGGGCCTCCGCCGAGGCCGCCGAGGAGGCCGCCGACGAGGCGGGCCCGCCGCTGGGGGAGGGGTGCGCCTCGCCCTGCAGCTCGCTGGTGGCGGACTGGTGCCGCTGCGCCTCGTGTGCCGCGGGGCGGAGGTCGCCGAGCTCCTGGGCGATGGCGAGCGCCCGGGCTCGTCCTCCCCCTGCTCCCCCTGGCCCTGCACTCCCTGCACCTCGCCCTTCTCCCGCTCCTCCTCTTCTTGCTCCTCCTGCTCCCGCTCTGCCTCCTGCTCCTTCCACCCCTCGCCCCTCGTCCTCCCGCTGCACCTCGTCCCCTTATTCCCCTTCTGCCCCTCCTCCTCCACGTCCTCCTGTTCCCCTCCGCCCCCTCGTCCTTTCAGATTGGTCAGGTCGTGAAGGCGTAGGCTACGGCTTCACGACATGACCATGCGGAGACTTGGCGCGGGGCCCATAAGGAGGAGGCGGAGGAGGAGGAGGAGGAGGAGGAGGAGGAGGACCTGACCATGAGGAGGAGACTTGGCGCGGGGCCCTGACCATGCGGAGACCTGACCATGAGGAGGAGGAGGAGGAGGAGGGAGGAGGGAGGAGGAGGAGGAGGAGGAGGAGGAGGAGGAGGAGGAGAGGAGAGGAGAGGAGAGAGAAGAGAAGAGAAGAAAAGAGAAATATCAGGAGCATGCCTCCTCCTCCTCCTCCTCTCCTCCTCCTCCTCCTCCTCCCCCTCCTCATCCTCCTCCTCCTCCTCCTCTTCCTCCTCCTCCTCCTTTACCGCCGCCGCCTGGTCAATTTCCTCCTGCTCCGCCTGTCCCTCCTCCTCAAACATGAACGCAGCAGGGTGCCATTGCCTCAGATGCGCCCGCGGACCGGGGGGGGCGCGAAGCGGATGAATTAAGAGAGTTAGCTCCTCTTCCTCTTCCTCCTCTTCCTCCTCCTCGTCCTCCTCCTCCTCCTTCCTCTCCTCCTGCTCCTCGTCCTCCTCCTCCTCCTCCTCGCCTTCCGCCTCCTTTTCCCCCTCCTATTCCTCCAAATACTCTGGGATCTCAAGCAACTTGGGCCCGAGCTGGGCCCGTCCCGTGGGCTTCCGAGGAGCGCTTGAGGGACTTTGTCCGTTCTTCTTTGCCAGGATAGAACGTACACCGACGAACACACGGGATTGCAATGGCTGCGGAGCAGAAGCGATGGACTCGCTGTGAGAGTTGCAACAGGTGCGAGTGGAACACCATCCTGCGTCGCCAGAACCTCGTCTGCAGTGGCTGCAAAGCTAAAGTCAAGCTGTTCCGCCCCTGGAGGCGCGTTCAGTTCGACGAGAGTCAGGATGACGACGGTCTCTACGACGCAGACAGCGGCAATGAATCTGAATCACTTCCAGGTCCTGAGCAGCCACTACCTCCAAGCATACTGGGGCGTGCGCCTTCCCCGAACCGTGCAAGCGGCAAGGGCTGCAAGGACGGCGGCGACGCACAGTGCCACCTCCGCCTTGCGCTGGCGGCGGTCATTGATCCAGTGGTGAAAAAGGACCTGGAGATGCAGATCGCCAAGCTCAGCCAGGTGGCCGACAAGGAGCCAGGGCTGGGCGTGGTCGAGGCGCTGCGCCGCGCAGACGGCGCCAAGCGCAATGCAGAGCAGGTACATGAACAAGCAGATGCGGCAGTACTACGCATTCGCAGCAACCTGGCGGCTGCGGAGGCGAAGGAAGCTACGGCCGCCATCACTCTAGCCAAGGCGGTGGGCGCTCGCAAGGTGGCGGCCATGGCAGTCACAGAGGCGGAGGGCCTCGGCGGCACACCGCAGGGCGTTGAAGCCAGCGAGAAGAAGATCCTCAATGTGGAGTGGGACGAGACTTTCTTCGGCAGCATCGACGGGCTCGACGCCACCCCCGAGGAGAAGACAGCGCTGCTCACGCTCAAGCAGCAGATCCAAGGTGTGCAGGCCCAGTTCCAGGAGAGGGAGTCGGAGCTGCAGAAGTGGCTCACGGACATGAAGGAACATCGGCGCATCATCGAGGAGAGGGCCGCTAAGAAGCGCAAGGCGGATAGCGGCATCAAGCAGCAGGACGAGCAGCCGACGGCCGAGGCCCCGAAGGCTCAGCCAGCAGCTGGAGGCGCAGGTGCCGAGGTTCCATCGGGCCCCGCAGCGGCGACAGCGGCCAGCCAGGCCACGTCGTCGGCAGAGGGCTCCGCCGCCAACGTAAACGAGCAGCAGCGCATCGCGGAGGAGGCCAAGAAGCTGCCGGAGGCTAAGCTTACAGCGGCCGCCAAGGCCACCAAAGCCAAAGGCAAGGGGAAGGCTGCGTCCGCTACGGCGACGGAAGGTGTTCAATCACATTGACTAGGGGTAGCACGTCAGCCTCGACCTACGCAAGTCGGGGCACATGGGGAGACATAAGATATTACCAGGGCCTTTTATGCTAATATCACCAGTCTGTCTGACAATGGGAAGGCGTGGAAGTTCGTTGAATCCAAGCCCAGAGAATACTCGTATTTCGCCCTGGCGGAGACTCATGTTCACTTGAAGTCTGAGATCAGGAGTTTTGATAGCAAGAGTCGCCAGCTACGACTCCGTTTGCACCACAATGCGGCACGTCACTCTGGCAAGCTGGTCGGCAAGAACAAGGTGGCCCGCTCAAACGAAGGGGGCGAGTTTCTCATAGCCCAAGCTCACCTTCAGGCTCGGAAACTGGAGGAAGCGTATGTTGCGACCAAGCATCTTCGAGACCCGCACCAAACAGCTGTGGATGGGTTTCTACCGATGGTGCTGAATGTTGCAGGTTATTCGCTCGGAATTATCCTTCTGTACGGACATCCATCCATTCAGATGCGGGGCAAGCAGGTTGCGGTCCCAGAGGATCGGAGCCTTGGTCAAGGCGCTGAAGATGCCGTGGGTGATGTGCGGGGATTTCAACATGACCCCAGAGGTCCTCTCCAAGGCTGGTTTCCCTCAGCAGCTGGATGCAGTCATCCGCGCTGCGGACGTGGAAGGGGACTTGCAAGCAGAAGAACGGCAAGCCAGACACCATGATCGATTTCTTGGTATGCAGCCGCTCTTCTCTGCCATTCATGCGTGACGTCCTGCCCGTGCGCGCGGCCCCATGGCGGCCGCAGACTGGGTTGGAAATTAAATTCAGGAGTTCTGGACTACTGTTACAGACCCGCGTGCTGAATCTTCCGAGGGGGCTTCCTCAGGCGGCGAGACCCAAGACGGAGCCCACGCCTGACTCCAAGTCTTCTCGAGCCAGGCCGGAGCGCGCAGTTGCCCGAGCCTCGGCGCAGGAAAAAAACGTTCCTTGATGCATGAAGCATTGTTTGGGGATTGTCGCCCGTCTGTTGAGCAGCCTCGTGACCCCGATTTTCCCGGCACGGCAGTGATGTCTAATGAAAGGAATGGCGAGGCCGCCGATCCTGATTTGGCTCTCCTGCTCGACGAGGAAGACCCGTGGGCTGATGAGCTTAACTTTTGTGGTTTAGACCCCGCCCATTCAACTGCTTTGGTGGCGTATGTGGGGCTGTCGTCGTCGGGGCCGTCGGCTGGCGGTCTGCATGGGGCCCCTGGGCTTGTCGGGGCCCCCTGCGGGGCCGGCGCGGGGCCCTCTCCTGGCGGTTCGGCCCCAAAGCAGGTGATTGAGAGCGTGGGGGAGTCTAGGATGCAAGTACTGTCCGTTATTGCTAGGCCCGCGGCGCCCCAGGTCCCCGACCCCCCGCCTAACTTAGGAGACCCCCCGTCGTTTGATGACAGTAGCAAGGCGAGCTCGAGATGTGACCCTGATGTGGCGGCCCCTATCTGTTTTGCCATCCCAGACGAGGTGTGGGCCAGCGCCAGGCGCGACGCTGGATTTATGCCTAGAGACCTCATGTTGGCCTCAGTGTCGCCACATCTTCGTTCCTCCGTAGCCTTTCGGCTTAACCCTGCTGGGTGCTCGTCGGTCTCCAGTCTGCGCGCTTCTTGGGCCACAGCGGCCGGGGCCAGCGCCCCTTCTCATCGCGGTCTACAGGTCGCTCCTGGACCATCGCGCGCAGCGGGGCCAAGTGTTTCAGTTCAGGCTATGCGGCAGACGCTACACATGCGCGAACTGCCTTTGCGTGGTCAGAGGGACCAGCGGTGGACAAGAATTCACTGTTCTGAAAGGCCTTCAGGGACACAGACAGAGGGGCAACGGCGAAAAGCTGATTTAACAGCTTATCGCTGCAAGTTTGTGCATTCACGAGTCTCGTCCGACAGGGGCGCATGTGTTGATCAAGGCTGACAGGGGGCCATCGTGGGACCACTGGCTAGCCATCCTCCAGAACCCGCTTTCTGCCGCGGTCGAGCACTTTGCATGGCATGTTGCGTCTTCGCGGAAGACCATGGAAAGGGCCCAACGGGCTTCGTTGCATGAATCGCTGCAGGAGTTCGGGAATTGGGCCGTACATGACAAGTCTTATCAAGGTATTCTTCATCGGGCGCTCAAGCCCCAGCCACTCCCGCCGCGAGAAACTACTGCGGGGGCGGAAGTGGTTTTTCACCCCAAGGATCTTACGGGCATCAAGCAGGAGGAGTTCACGAGGTCATGGGCTCCAGCTCCTATGGGCAAACAACAGGTGTTCGAGACTTTCCGTGTCGTCCGCGAGGAAGCTGTGTTCAACGAGCTGGGGCCCACCCAAGAAGACGGCGCATGCGCTGCGGCAGCCAAGATGTCGGCCCGAGCGGGCCTTGGAGTGGATATGTTCACGCCAGTCGACTTTCAGAGGCTGCCGCGGATTGCTGTTTCAGAGATGACATCGGTTCTCCAGTCAATTGAACCCACACTCGCTTGGCCAATTCAGTTGATGATGGTTCTTTGTAGGCTTTTTCCGAAGAAACAAACTGGAGATCGTGCCATTGTTATCCTCGCGATGGTGACAAGGCTCTGGTCGTTGCATCGGGGGCCGCTGGTCAGGCCACGGTCATCTCAGAATATAGCTTCACGGGGTGCGGCCGTCGAGGGCAACTCGAGCTTGAGAAAGGCCTACCTCGGGGTCATCGACGAGGAGATGGCGCAGACAATGAATATGAATTTCGGGCACGCCATCACTGATGTGCATAAATTGCACGATTCCGTCCCATGGGGTTTGCAAGCAAGAGCGGCCCTCAAGATGGGACTTCCCCCAGTTATTGTATACTTAGAACTCGTGCCATGTGCGATGTGCAGGTGCCTCATTCAGGAAGGCGCCTCGTCTAATCCGTTTGAACCAAGTCATAGCATAGTGCAAGGTCTTCGGCCAGGAACCATATTCGCAAGAATCATGACTTATTTCACTCTGAATATAGTTGCGACTTTAAGCCCCCATACGGGACACCGTGTTTGGATCGATGATATTTCTCAGGCAATCACTGGATCGACCAAACCAGTCAGGCAAAGTCTCATCAAAGCGATTGTCGACACTGGCAAAGCCTTAGCCAGGAGAAAGCTCAAGATTTCGCCGAAATCAGTTGTCCTGTGTACTAAGATGGATGATGCCACGGCAGTGGCTAGGGCGGTGCGTCTACGGGGATTCAAAGTTGTTGCGGTGAAACAGTCGACTTACCTGGGTATTGGTTTCAGTTGCGGTCGTCATGGTCGTGGACAGCGTGTCAAAAGGGACGACAAGCATAAACAGATGAGCGACAAAATCAAGAGGTTCGCGAAGGCTGCCAAACAATATCGCCAAGTATCAAAGTTGGAGAAAGATGGATCGCAACCAGCTGGAGGCTACGGCTTCCAGGTGCACGGCATGTTCGGGCAGCAACCCACTGAGTTCCGCAGGAGGTTAGGAGCATCGTGCGCATCAGCTCCCAAGGGGCGCTGCCTCACCAAGCTGCTTGACCTGAGGGCAAGTGGCATGGATCCAGCAGTTTCGATGGCGACGCGTACGGTCGACCTCTGGCTATCAATGTGGCAGTCGCACCCGAGCCTGAGGACACGTATAGCACATGTCTGGCCGTCAGTGGTCGCCAGAATGCAGCAGCTACCTCCTCGGGAGCAGGCTCGTGCAGTTCAGGGGCCCATCTCGGCGGTAGTCCTTCTGCTGCTGAGAATCGGATGGGCCCCTACCTCACCATCGGCGTGGTCCTACATCAGTTTGCAGGGTACTGAAGAGGAATGGCAATTTCCTGTCAGCTGCTAGACGGGGGTCAAGGACTTGGACAGTCACGTGGCCCTTCTGCAGGACGTCAAGGAAGCAGCGCACAGGTCCTTGTGGCGCAAAGCCAGCCAACATTATTGTGGTTCAGGTACCGAGGATGGTGCCAGTAATGTATCGATACGACAGTTGCTGTGTCACCTAGCGCAGCAGAGGCATGGTTCACGTCTATCGGAGGTTCGGTTAAATATTGCAACAGGAGGAGCTTGGACCAAGCAGCGCAAGAGGGATACCCTACCTCGGTATTCAGGCGACGGAGTATGTGATCGCTGCCGCCAACAAGACGAGACCCCTCTGCACAGGTACTGGTCATGCCCCATGAATGTGGGATCCAAGGCATATTCCTTTTCAGAGTCGTTAGTTCCAAAAGCAATGGCGCAGCCGGGCGCTTGCGAGGCGTACTGGCTCCGAGGCTTGCTTCCTCAGCATCTGGTTGCAGTTCCTCAGCCGGCTGATCAACCAAGCTGGTGGTGTGCAGGTTTTGATCCATTGGAGCCTGGCTGCATGGGGCATGGCACCGATTGCAACCCAATATGGATGTTTGGAGACGCCAGCGGAGGGCCAGACACCCACTCCCCCATCATGCGCAGAGTCGGCATTGCAATCGCAAGAATGACCAACCTCCGTGCGCCAGAGGCAGCGTCTTGTATTGCAGGGCCCTTGATAGGCCCTAGACAAGTCGTGGCTCGGGGGGAGTTGATTGCACTTCTCATGGCACTTACACACACGAGTGGGCACCTCGTTTTCGTCACCGACTGTGATTATGTTGTTGAAGGTTGGTATGCATCCAAGGCGGACAATCCGACAGGGCAGGATGCCGACGTTTGGAATCAGATTGCCCAAGTTTCCAAAGGCAGGCAAATTGCAGTTCTTTTCGCTCACTCTCATTTCACGGCAGAGCAGATGGCAGATGGTCTGGGCTGCTCGGCTCTGTTTGTCGGCAACGCTGTGGCCGACGAGCTGGCAGGATATGCAGCCAGGTCGGCCAGAGCCCCAAAACATATACGGGCTCGAGTTCTGCAGGAGGAGCACCATATCTTCCAGGTACGCATGAGGTTGCTCAGGGCCACGCTCGACAGCATGGCGGCGACCGACGCCGCGGAGGCCGAGGCCAGGATCGTGCGAGGAAAAGCTCCCGCCGTCCCTCCCCCTCCGCCCCCTCCCTCTGCTAGCTCTGTTGCTGCGTTTCTGTCAGTGCACGTTTTGTCTGAGGACCGTCAGAGATGTCTCAAATGTTTCTGCTCGGCTTCGAAAGCCACCATGAAGGAGTGGTGGACCACCCAGTGCCCAGAGCTTTATAATGTCGACGGGGTCATTAAGTCTCCTAAGGTGGGGGAGCGTATCCATATTGCGTGGGCTTGGGCGCACCAATCTCACACCCTTAATGTGCATACGTCCCTGGGTACCTGGTTCTGCACTAAATGTGGGGCCATCGCTGAGAAGCTGAATAAACTTCTTAGCAAGCCCTGTTCGGGTAGGACGAACAAGAATCGGCAGGAATACCTCGATCGGATTGCGGCCCACAGGGAGCCGAAAGTCCTCAGCCAGGCCGAGCAGAAGGCCAGGCGGTCGAGTGTCTTGTAATCCGATGCTCATATCACTAACTTGCATTGCGCAACGGGCTCCACTCTAAATACTCTGGGATTGTCCTGCTGGGGCATGGACCCTTGGATACATTGTGTCCTTCATATTACCAGGGGTGCCACCTCCCCCTTTCTTTTTAACGAACCCCATGCAGTCCGCATCACGTCGAGTCTGGGCGATGAGCATCAAGTCACGGGTGAAGCATGGGCGAGGAGCAGGGCAGCTGGTCTGTGCGAGCAGTAGGGCGAGGAGTAGGCGGCGGAGAGTGGGTTCCACCCAGCCCCGCGCAGGCCGCATCATCCTTGAGGTAGTCCTGCTCCGCCTCCTTCATCACGTCGAGTATGCCCTCGAGGTCCTCGACAAGCAGCGCGAGCAGCGAGGCAGAAGCGCCGCACCCGTCCCGCCCTGGTCCCTCTCCTCCGTCCTCTCGCTCGAAAACTCGAACCTCGACGAGCAACGCCTCTTTTCCCAGCATCCTGTGAATCCTTCCCTTCCGCCTTCCCGCCCTCGGTCCCTTCCACTTTCTCATTCTCCGCCCTCCCTGCCCCCTTATCCTCCTCATCCTCAACTCTTCTGGTCACCCATCCCGCTCTTCCCGAGATCTCCCCTCCAATTCCGTAATTACCGGTCCTCCTACTTCCACAACCGCGCACACCTGTATCCACTACCGGGAGGCCACACGTGGAAACGGATACGGCAAGGCGGCGGCATCGTACTGGACTTGGACCGCCCCAAGCCACTCGTCAAGCACGGACGGTTGTGCACCATACTCGACTGAGCGACTTGCACTGAAGGCGAAGACACGCACCCAATGCGCTATATGTTTGCAGAAGTCATGGTGCGTATTCGCCACAGCGCCATGCCACGACTGGGGGCGTTCGAGGTCACCTTCTGTATTCTTGCAAGACGCACCGGTAACCGACATGCGTTGACCACGTGCTCCTCTCGAGCTGCTTTGCCACAGAAGAAAGCCAAAAGAACACCATGATAGAGTGAGGGGGGCGTTGGTCTTCTGGATGCGTGGCTCGAGTAGGGACCCTCGGGTGCCCCGGGGAATTATTGTTGTGGCCTTCGCGTCGTCATCTTGCAAGCAACCCACCTAGCGGCCCACCCGAGATCCACCCAAACATTTTTGACGAACGAAACTGGTGCCAGACGGCCATGCAACTCCTCCGGAACCGGCTTTTCTTCCTGAGTCGTTCTGCTGACTGTCTGCCACCCAGTGAGGGCCCTCAGGTGCCGAAAATAGCAAAAAGAACTTCGGACGGTCGTCATCGTCATCGTGGTCGTCGTCGTCGTCGCCCATGACGCCCGTCGGATACTCGCCATCCCGGAGGACGAGCGACGATAGGACAAGGCCGCGAGTCCCGTCCCGACCGGGTGTCTGGGTCACCCAGGCACGCTTTTTCTCCCACATCAACGAGCATCGGGGTCCCTCAGAACACCTCGGATGCCTGCCGCTGCTGGGGAAGAGAAGCAGAGACAGACAGAGAGAGAGAGAGAGACAAAAAACGAACACATATCTATATGTGTATATATACATATGTATATATATATATACAAGAGTGCAGTGGCGCTTCGCGCCACTGCACCTTGGTCCTTGAAGTTTGGTATGCAGGCGGACTAGCAGGAAGGTCAAGCCAACAATTTAGCGATAACTCCTTTTCTGGCATCGCCGCTATAATAATGTTACTCGTTATCCTTCCTCCATGCTTCTTTTTCCTCATTTTCGCCATGCCCTGCGCATTATCCCCATCCTCCTCAGCTCTTTTTGCGGTGGCTCCTCCTTGGAGAGCCTCTGGGGGCCTCACAACAGTTTTTCAAGCTTTCTTAAGGCCTTCTGGAGGCCTCCTGGGCGTATTCTGGGGGCCTCTGGGGGCTTCCTCGGGCCTCCCTGCCTCCAACCGCGGTCTCCCTGAACGGCCGGGTCACGATTTGGAATTCTTCGGAGGGTCTCTCGGAGCCATCTTGGGCCGCCATGGAGCTCTCTGAGGGCCATCTTGGACCCCTGTTGTGCCGTTTTGGGGCTCTCTTGGACTGCCTGGAAGCCCTTTCGGATGGTTGTGGGGCGATTTGGGAGCCTCCCAGGCGGCTTCGGACGCCCAGAAGACCGCCGTCTTGGAGCGTCACGAAGCCGAAAAGAGGAGAACCCCAAAATAAACAAAAAACCAACAAAATCAATGCGTTTTGCCTCTTGGGGCCTTCTTGGGAGTGCTCTTGGAGGCCTCTTGGGACGTTTCGGGACGATCTTTGGGGGTATGACGGCTTCTTGGGGGTCGTCGTCGACAATATTGGGACTCTCTGGGGTGGTTTCGGGAGCGCGCCACGTCCTGCGAGGCCCGGGGTGCCGCTTCGAGGCCCGTCCGGAGGGTCCCTAAGTCCAAGATCCCAGGAGTCCGGTTTGAGGGGGGGGGGACGGGTTTTCCCCCCGCCGGGGCTTGTAAAAATATAGAAAGAGGAACCTAGAGAGAGAATGAAAATTCCAAAATTCTTCGAGCCGGGCCCACACGCCATCCCTCACTCCTTGATTCTCTCCCAGAATCCCTCTCCATGACCAGGTTGGTCACCCCTGTCTCCTCACAATGGGCACGCAAGTCGGCCATCTCGTCCGCCAATGCCCACGAGGGCTTCTCCGCGTAGCCGTTGCCATCTCCGTGGCCATCAC